TTTGAAACATAATGGCTTTATTGGAGTCGTAGTCGATGCCGCCGTTGAACGTTCTTCTGTTTCCCGGTGAACCAAAATAATCCTCTGCATCATGAACCACATGAAACCCAATCAAGTAAGCAAATCAAGCCAATAATATGCTGCCAACTCACCACTGATCAATCGGTTCCAAATTAGTCCTAGGGAGCCGTTGACTTAGGCGATAAGTCTTCGCCGCTCCATAAAAATATTAATAGCATAAAATAATAAAAATATTTAAATTCTTTGTGGTCCATGTTTTTTTTTCTTATCGTATGATACAAAAACATTTATTTTTCCCCATTAATTTTAATTTTAGTATTTTTTAAAATATTATTTCAGCATAACATTACCCTTAATTAATTTATAGTTTGGCTCGGTTATTATTATTTATTTATTTAATTAATTAATTTTGCATATAATAATTGAGATAGAAATATTTAAATTTATAATCTCAAATAAAATAGTATATTTTTAGAAAGAATAATTAAAAATAGTTATGAAATAAAATAAAATAAATTAAATATATGCTTATATAATTATATATTTTGATTTTGTCTTTAATTTTTTTTTTTTGGTTGTAATTTAGCATAAATAAATTTATCCTTTTCCCACGTCTCTGGTTCGAGGAAACTTCGGCGTTTTACCGTAATAATAAAAAGCCCGCCACCAGTGTGCCTCTGGCTGCTTCATACCCCCATAATTGTTTTGACCAAAACCACCACCACTCCGCTCTCTCTCTCTCTCTCTCTTGAGGCGGTCTTTCGATCGTCTCTGGTGGTCGGAGTTGTAGTTCTTTCTCAATTTCAATTTAGGTTGCGTAGATTCTTCGAATTCGGAATTCTTCACCGTCGCTGTCGATTTTGTCCGAGAATTCCGAGTTTTGAACTGTTCTTTCAAGCGGTTTGCTGTCAACGACGTAGCTTTCGATGGGATTGTGCGATGAGGGGGATTGGCCACCGGGGTTTCGGTTTCACCCGACGGATGAGGAGCTGGTTGTGTATTACTTGAAGTTCAAGATCTGTGGACGCAAATTGAAGCTCGATATCATCCGTGAGACCGATGTTTACAAGTGGGAACCCGAGGAATTGCCTGGTAAAGAAATTTCCTTCTCATGCTTGATCTGGTTGATTGAAGTTCTTGTGGTTTATCTTTGACCTAGTTTGATTTTGATTGAATTTGTCGTAGATTAACTTATTTGATCGTTTAGAATTGATTTGGGGATCTTTCTGTATGTGCCTACATGTGCGATTTGCGTTTGTTTGAACTTGTTATCAAATTCTAATCGTATCATATGGTTCTAAACGTATTTAACTTCTTGAATTCGTAGTTGTAGCTATTTATTGTTACTATTTTCGGCACCATTTCCTATTTGAGTCGTTTTTATCCACTCAGTTCTTATTACCAAAAGGAGATCATGTACTAGCCGAAGGCATAATTGATCTTTGAATACCATCTTTTTCCAGAATTTTAGAGTGTTGCCCTATGATTCTCTTATTTTTGGATATCAATGAATATTGATGGTGTTTCTAAACATGACTAAATAAATGCAGGTCAATCTAAGTTAAAAACTGGTGATAGACAATGGTTCTTTTTCAGTCCTAGGGAACATAGATACCCAAATGCATCAAGATTGAGTAGAGCTACTAGACATGGCTACTGGAAGGCAACGGGAAAGGATCGAATAATACAGTGCAATTCACGTAATGTTGGAGTGAAGAAGACCCTTGTGTTCTATCTAGGTCGTGCCCCTAATGGCGAGCGCACTGATTGGGTTATGCACGAGTATTCCTTGGAGGAAGATGAGCTTAAGAGGTGTAAGAATGTAAAGGTAACTGCATGCTTAAGCGCGTTTTTTTACTTAATAGTTCTTGGATGATCTTGCTTGATTAAGCTGGAGTCTTCATTTCAGGATTACTATGCGCTTTACAAACTTTACAAGAAAAGTGGACCTGGGCCTAAAAATGGGGAGCAATATGGAGCACCATTTAAAGAAGAAGATTGGGTCGACGACGCCGATGGTCAGGAGCCTCAAGTGAAGATACTTGATGAGGTTAATTCTGTAGTTCGTGAAATAGAGAACGGTCGAATTCAGCTTTCATCAGATGATATTGAGGAGCTTATGCAACAAGTTGTAAATGATCCTGTTCCAGTGTTGCCATCAATCAGTGGTTATCATCAATTTGACTCTGTTCTGCAGGTTGGCTGCCCCGAATTTCGCACTTCTGATAATCCGTTCCCATCCCATGTTAATTTTCCTTGGTGACTTGACTGGTCATCGCTTCGAGATCAAAATGTTTCTTATTCGATTGATCATATAGCAGTAGGGACTGGGAACATTGGTACATATAAACTGCATTTCTGAATTTCAAAGTGTGAAGAATGTTTAAAAGCTTTAAAAGTAGTATTCTGGTTCAGGAAGGAACTGATATATATGCTGTATTTCATTGGTTATTTAGTCAGTCATCCTTTTTTTCATGTGCTTTATTTGCTCGGTTTCATAGATTAGCTTATGATTTATCTCCATTCTCTGTATAGGTTGATGACAAAGAAGATACTGTAAGTACTATGATCGATGCTTACTCTCGGGATCACGTTCTTCCTGAAGCGGATAAAGTACATGACTTTAGTGGCCATCCCAGTGACTTACATGCAAGCTTTGACTTTACCCAGTTGGGTAACTCTCAGTTGCAATCATTTGAGAGCGAGATATCATCAGCTCCCAAATATTGCGAGGAAGAAGATTTCTTGGAGATCAATGATCTCCTTGGCCCGGAGCCTACTCCGGTGGCAAATGTCGACCCCTTGGGAAATGTATCACCCACCGAATTAGACGGATTGAGCGAGTTAGATCTGTTCCATGATGCGAATATGTTTCTCCGCGACTTGGGACCCATCGTCCCTGAAACAGCTTTAGATCCATATTTGAATGCTCTCGATATTGATGTTACGAACACTTTGAATGACCATTTGGACTACGGGATGGACAATGGATTCTGGAAGAACAACGAGACAGAAAATGCCTTCAGCTTCCCGGAATCGCATGGACAGTTTGTTACTCAATCAACTTTAGGTATATTATTTAATTGAAACTTGATATCTTCTCTCTTTTAGCAGACATTCAGCAGTCCATTTTTACTGAGCTCTTTCTTTCTGTTGATTTTCGCGAAGTTGCTGGCTCGATTAGCACATCGACACAGAGCTCTTGTTCAGATGAATGGGGTTTGTTTGATAAGCCATACTATACTCCACATGACAAGAGCCCTTCTCTGTGAAATATTGAGCCAGCTTCAACAGCTACTTAGAACGAGTACTCTTCTCGTGTATATCGAATTCTCTGATTCGAAAGGAGCAATTCTCGAATTATATTTGTCGACCTCATCGTAAACTGCCATTGTGGTGCCAATCCCAGGTGCCATTTTATCGATTCGAAGCAGTAGGCAGTAGCTAATTCTGAAACTTTCTGGTCTTGTTTAGGTGTGGGATATGAATCTGTAAGTTCTGCAGCAGCAGAAGGAACAGCAGGAACAACAATGGAGAACCAAACTGCAACAAATGCTGGTGGCGGTTCTGCAAGTTGGTTCTCTTCCAATTTGTGGGCGTTCGTAGAGTCGATACCGACCACTCCTGCATCAGCTTCAGAGAATGTCAACCGCGCTTTCGAGCGGATGTCTAGTTTCAGCAGATTGAAACTAAATACACTGAACACCCTTAACAACGCCAATGTCGCCGTCGGTAATCCCGTTACCGGTGCAAGGAGGACGGGTATGAATAAAGGATTCTTATTGTTTTCAATTATTGGAGTGTTGTGTGCGATTCTATGGGTGTTGATAGGAAATGTTAGATTATGGGGAAACTGCATTGCCTCATGAACCCTATATCTCATGGAAGTTCTGCCATCTTCTTTTATACCTTCGTTATATGCATACCTTAAAGTTTCAATATTCATGGAAAACTGAATATTGGATGTAAAGCAATCCAGTTATGGCTAATTATAGATGAGAGTTCTATAAATCTAGTTTGATTTGTGTGGTGCCACGTGTGATTTACTGGTGAGTGCCACGTGTATTCTAGAATTATTCATAAATTATATATTGAAGTCTCCTATAATTATTGTAAAACATATTAACATTACTAACTTCTCCTATACTGAGAATTAATTTATAAATATCCATAAAACATTAAAAAAAAAACGTATAGTTTATTAAAGCATATAACTCTAAACCCTAAATCGATACAAAATAGTCCAAATTACGATAAATAAAAAAAAAATATATATATATATATATATAAAATAATTTGAATTACTATAAAATTATTAATAAAAAAATAACTCAACTCATTCTGTCATTTTTCCAATCAATGAGATAAAAAAAAAATTAAAGGAAATTAATAGGACCAATCGAGAAAAAGTAATGATGGATGACTGGTGGTGTTTTGGCAATGATGACAATAAAAATCACGAGAAAAAGTAATGAAAAATGAAGACGAAGAACAACATGAGGCTATCCCCGAGAGGAGCTAGTAGCATTTTGTTGGGATTACAAACTAAGATACATGGTGCACGAGATTCAGGACTAAGTAGAATTTTGTCCTGATTACAATCTCAAATACGCGGTGCACGAAATTGAAGACTAAACCGTATACTACCTACGTGAATCACACATAAAGCTCGTGTATATGATTATATGAGTTTCTCGAGGCAGATTATGGTTCCTTCCATGTGTTGTATCGCCTCATGAAAATCGTGTGCGTGTATATGCTTTTATTTAAATGGAAACCATTTAATGCGGCTTACTTAGAGACTCGAACCCATGGAACAATTAGGGCTTTTATTTAAATGGAAACCATTTAATGCGGCTTACTTAGAGACTCGAACCCATGGAACAATTAGGGTCGCCCTAATTTTTATAATTCTTAAGCAACTATATATATTTGTTTTTATTTATTTAAATTACATAATTAAAAAAAAGCCGATTTTTTATTTTTTCTAAACGAAGAAATATTAACATTTACTGAAGGCCGGACCTCTGAAATAAAATCTGGTCGGAACAGAATCCTCCCGGAACGTTTCATTCTTCGTCGCCGTCGCCGTTGTTTTGTTCGGGATCTTCAAACTCTCATTCGATTTCTTTTGAAGTCCTTGTTATTGAAGACGAACCATCGCTTAGTTACGAGTTCAATTGATCTGCGTTCCATTTGCGGAGTTTGTGTGCAGTTTTGAGCTTTAGAGCGTCAATGGGAGGCGGTTAAGCTTAAAAGGTATGCGGAGGAGGAAGAAGATGAAGCAATGCTTCGGCTTCTTCTTCTTCTTCTGTTGATTCATGGCCTCCTCTCAGCACCGCTGTGTTTTCGGTATGTTCTGTATTCTTTTTCTACGTTGTTAATTTTGATTCTCTGTTTTGCGATTTGATTTGATGGGGAACTGTTTGTTTATATTGGAGAATGGCGGATTTGAGTCGTATATCTTGGCGAATCCTTAGTGTTGCTTTTTATTTCGTTTTGTTTCGCTTTCAATTGTTGTTGGCTTTATTAATATTGGCCACGGTTGAATTTTTTTTGGTGATTTGGTTTCTGATGGCTTCTTTGCGTCTTATTGTGTCGTTTGATTTTGATTTCAGTCGGGAATATACCTTATGATGCTACTGAAGAACAGCTTATAGAAATCTGCCAAGAAGCTGGGCCCGTAGTATCGTTCAGGTCTGTGTTCTATGCTCTTTTTTCCTGGGAAACGAACCCTAAAATTTATATTGTATTGAAATTTGGGAGCTAGAATGAGATTAAGAGCTTTGAAGTCATAAAGATGGGGTATCTTTTCTATAAAAAAAATTCCTCGAACTCTCTGTAGTTTCATTGCCTTTTAATTTCTTGACATCATGGTTTTCTCCTCTGCGCGTGGATTTTGTACCTCTGTTTCTCTTATTCCTCTTTGAAGTCTTGCTTCGGGGGCTTACTTCTATCATTATCTATCTGACACATATCAAGTGGCTATGCCAAGCTAGAATAGAACCTTCGTTTTTGTTACGTTGTCTACTGTCAGCCCCTGCTAAGATAGCCAAGATCGAGAATTCGTTTCTTAGTTTTTTTTCTTTCGGTCAATCACCGAAGATGACCGGGTTTTTTTCGACTAAGTGATCTGCGTATAGTGTAGTTAAATCTATGGCATGACTGATAATTTGTCTATGTCTGGCCTGATTGATTGAGGGGGTGTGGTGGAATGCCAGTGTACTTTTAGAAAAATTGTGGTGTTTATACTGTTATATATCATTGCAGATAGACAGCCAAACTAACAAATGTAACTCACTTTTTGGTTCTGTCATGGTATAGTTGCATGATAAGGGGTTTTTCTTTGATCTCTAAAAATGTAACTCACTTTTGGAATTTGAGATCAGTGTTGGAAGCTGCCCCACGTCATTCCTGAAAACCATTATGTTCTTAGTTTCCTATTCAGAAAAATGAAGGGAAAGATAATAAACTAAATGCGGGATATCAACTATGAGAATCATTATTTTCTAACGCCTTAGTCATATCCAAAAGGATTTTGGATATCATATTAATTTATCATTTCAGTCTATTGTTTACCACTACATTTTAAAGTTAAAATTAACCGTTTCTTCCTTTTTTAGATTAGTTATTGACAGAGAAACTGGAAAACCAAAAGGCTATGGGTTTTGCGAGTACAAGGATGAAGAAACAGCTTTGAGTGCTCGTCGTAATCTTCAAGGTTATGAAATTAATGGTCGGCAGTTACGAGTTGATTTTGCTGAGAATGACAAGGGCGCAGACAGAAATAGAGAACAGGTGAAGTATTTTACCTCTTGCATTTTGTCAATTAGACTCATTGACTGTTCTTGTCCATCCAGCTAATTACATTGGTTTTTTTCAAAAGACGAAAGACAAAGTAAGTATTTTTTTTTTATTGGAAAAGTTCTGGTGTCGAGTATACCTCCGAGTTAAAACTGATTATAAAAGACATCTTGAATTCATAAATGTGAAGAAAATTTTCAAAGATCAAAGACTATTGAATGGTAATTTTTCTTTTAAACATGGGAACAAACTCAGTCTTCAGCTGCATTTTTTCCTTCCATTATCATTATCCTTCTTTCTAGTCAAATAACTCCTCAAATGGCTGAAACTACGCATCTGACATTATTTGATTTGAAACAATTTTCCCTCTTTCAGGGTCATGGTGGACCTGGATTGGTTGCAAATTCTGGTTAGTTTTCTCTATCTTAGGTTTTCTTTCCTTATGGTTTGTGCAATAAAATCGGACTGTTTTCTTTAAGTTTTGTGTTGACGCCAAAGATGCTAAAAAACAATTAGGTGGCCCAACAGCCCTTGGGGAATCCGGTCAACATCAACCAATTGGTCTTCATATAGCTATAACTGCTGCAGCTATCATGGCGGGAGCCCTTGGGGGTGCACAAGCTGCTTCTAATCAGAATATTTTGCAGAATGCAACAATTTCCAATGATCCTTTAACTTTACATCTGGCTAAACTTTCTAGGAGTCAGCTTACTGAAGTTATGTCAGGGCTAAAGGTAACCTTTTGAGTATGTTCTCTCCTCTCTCCTCATTTTCCTGAATGGCTCCTGGTGATTGGTACATTGTTTGGACTTAGGTAATGGCTACACAAAACAAGGACTTGGCCCATCAGCTGTTGCTGGCAAAACCACGATTATCAAAAGCTCTTTTCCAGGTACTTATTTACCCTTCCTCCTTTGTGGTTTCTTCAAGCGTGGAGAACCTCCATAATATCTTGTGTTGGTGACTTTGTTTTTTTTTTTTTTTTTTTTTCTGTAGAATATTATTTCCTAATTACCATTAGCTATTTTCTCAGTCCAGCATCCAATTCCAATATCTCTGCTTCTGGAAGAGTTGATGAATTCCTTTCTTCTGGCTACTCTTATGATCTTATTGTCTATGTGCGTCAACTTTCTAAACATGTTTATGCAATCCATATCTTCCCAGTTCCTACTCTTGGAGATATTTGGGTAAACATGTATGCTGGAAAAGAAAATCTATCTGTAGCTCTTCATGACGTGAATAAAATATGAGATTGAAGGTAGCGGGTGGAATACAGTTGGTTCTTGAAGCGAATGGGGTGCCATAGATGTCAAGGGAACCTACGTAGATCATAACTATATATGTTAATTATTGTTAGCTTGTCACTCCTATTTTTTTTTTTTTTTTGCTTGCATTTAAGTTCCATAGTTGAACTGCCGTGTGCATAACTTTTTTTTTTTTTTTGCAAGAAACTGGGTTTTCGTTGTGAAAAATAGAAAATTAGTGTACATCACAAGTAAAAAAAAAAAAAAAAAAAAATCTAATTGCATAGGAAAGTACCTTTATAGAACATTCCAGCCACACACCCTTCTTTTGGTAGGTGCTCATAACTAGAGAACCCTCACTTTCTGCTTCAACTAAGAAATTTTTGCAAGGACATAATTGGATGACCCTATCTTTATGTAAAAAGCTTTCTAGCACACTAATATGCGAATTGCACACCTAGAATCATCAAGTTTTAGTTAAGCGTTTGGTCGTTAGTTTTTAACATTTTGGCCTCTAAGCTTCTGTCGATCCTGATCTCAGAACCAATATTTGAGCCAAATTTTAATTGAAAACCAATATTGTAAGAATTAAAATAGTTCATTATTTAGAGAGAGAGAGAAGGGAAGAGGGAAAGACTTCAAATAAATATTTGGTAAAGAAGAGTCCGGCAATATGTTTATATTTTCAGTTGTGCCTTATTTCTTTGACAACTTTCTTGTTCCTTCCAGTTTAATGGACTATATCTCTACCTGTATGCAACACCAGCTAAGCCTCTTTTCTTTTCTCTCTTTTATGTAATTTTGTTTGCAGTCACAGATAATGCTTGGAATGGTCACTCCACAAGTGGTATTTCTCTTCACTGCCTGTATTTTTATTTTTCATATTTTTAGTGTTTTTATTGTGTGTGTGTGTGTGTGTGTGTGTGTGTGTGTGTGTTTGTTATCGATAGACGTTAAGATTATCTCACGAACAATTACCCTTCTTTGATGATTGCAGTTGCAGAAGCCTAATTTACGTCAACCTTCTACTCATCCTCAGCTTCCTTCGCATGAAATTCAGCAGGGTCAGCCATCGTCTCTTCAAATTCAACAAGGGCTGCCCCCTCTTGCACCTAACAGGATGCAGACTGGTTTTGTACCTAAAAAGGAAACTCAAATGTCTCTCACGCCTCAAAATCCTTCAGCTCCCCATCAGCCTTCTGCATCTGCATCCCAATGGCCTCCATTTCAGTCTCAAATTCAGCCATCACACATTTTACAAGGCACTTTGACCGGAATACCTGGAGGCTCATCACTTCCTTCCACAAGTTTACAGATTCAGGTGCCCATCTCCTCTTCTTTAAAGCAGCACATTCACCCCCCTTCTCAACAATATTCAGGGCATGGCCGGGCTCTAATTCCAGGGCATAATGCTCATATTGCTGATCCAGAAGCAAAACCTTCTCTTTTGCCTCACCCTTCTTTATCAGATGCAGACTTTCAGGTTCTACTTTATGCTTTTTATTTATTTATTTAATTTTCATTTTATAGTTTAATATATGAATGACTCAGAACTAGAACATAGGTATATCAACGGGCAAAAAAAATTACCAATTTTACTTGGAGAGCAGGTAGGCCAGTATGGAAAAAGTTGCGTCCCTTGAAGTCTACCTTAGATAGAATGAAAAGTTAATTTCAAGCTTTAATTCAACGCAAAGGTGGGCGATTTAGTGTTCTTAATTTATTTATCTCAAATGTATGGGTTCACTTAATGAGAAACTCTTTATGATCAATAAATGAGGCTTTTCTTATCGATGTTTGTAGTCCTCTATTATATGGTTATGTGCTTACTTTATCATTTCTTCTTCTTTTTTTCTTTCTTTCTTTTTTCTTTTTTTCTTTTTCTTTTTTCTTTTTTCTTTTTTCTTTTTTCCTTCCTTTTTGAGAAGAAACAAAGTTTTAATAGGAAAGATAAGAAAGAACAGATGTGAAAGAACAAACCACCAAACAAATAAAGTAGAAATCTCAAAAGTTACAAAGTTCGAAACAAAAATTTTAAGAACAAAGCACTCTGAGGGAGAATCAGCCATTATCGCAGAAGCAAAACAGCAACCAAAGAACCACTAAAGATAAACACCTGTCCATCAAAAAGCAAAACCAGCACAGCTGCCCAAATGACAAAACTCTGGAAAAGAGATTCAACACAACTCCAGCAAGAGAAAATAAAGAAATTCCTCCACCTCCTTCGAAGTTACTGACCACCATCAAGAGTTTAACAAGAACAAAACTTTTCATTGAAGAAATAAAAAGAGACTAATGCTCAAAAGAGTCATGAAGAGTAATTGAAATCAAATCCTTACTCAAACAAGGAACCTGCTGCTAGCTCAAAAAATTTAAGAAGGTCCTCAGAAATATTTAACAAGTCTATGGAGCTTGCTCCCCTTGGTTCGGAAGTCTGTTTATTGTTTTTTTCCCCCCTTTCCCCCCTTTCCCCCCCTTTTTGGATTTGGTAGTGTCTTCTTGTTTCTAACTTGCTCTTCATAACAGCCTGGCCCCGCCACAGCGAATAGTACATCTCAGATAGTGGGCAGTGATATTGATAAGTCTTCTCTAGTTCCTCTTGGTGTGGATGGTAAAAGAAATATGCTTCATGGCTTTTCAGGAACAACTAATCGCCCTGTAAAACAGATAAAATTAGAGGATGGAAAAGGCATTCCTTTCTCCTCCGGAGGTCTAAGTGCATCGATAGGTACCAACGGATCTGGACAGCTTGGAATTGCCTCAGATCCCCATCTGGCGGGAACGCATATCTCTGAGAAACCAACTTCAGTGGTACGTTATTTATTAATTGAAAATATTTACGTACTTCCTTATTCGAGGTAGCATTAGCTGCAATTCCCATTTTTCAATCTGAATTCATTCTTTATAGTTCTGTCTGATTCTGAATTGGTTCTTTCTAGTTCCCAATGCTCATGTCATGTAGAAGAGTCGTGTATATTTATCTTTTGAGATATTAGACTCTCACTGAGAAGAATAAAAGATTAGTGTGGTATTTGCGAGTGTATTTGAACGTATTTAGATCGAGCATGAGTTTGAGATGCCTTGTAAGGGTAGTGCTTTTAAATGACATATTTCTCATTTTAATGTTTTTAAAAATCTTCGAATCACTCTCGACTATCCAACGAAATGCATTGGCAGTACTCATGCTACAAGAAAATGATCAGTGTAAGGCTTAATTTCATGGTTCATATTTATTTTCCAAGTTCCCTTCCAGACTGTATGACCTTTATCCTATCATTTACCTCTAAATTCAATGGTTAATCCTGACAGCATCAACCATCCTAGTGAGATGAACCACGACTACTTTCATTCATAAGAGCATCAATGCAGCTAAAAATTTAATTATTCAAGTCATGGAAAATTGACAAACCCTTGGTGAGATAACTGTAAAGTGAATATGAAAGATCTTGTTCATATTACTTGGATGAATTCTCACTGGAGTATCTTGTTTTTGTTTTAGTTTTAGTTCCACGTCTGTGGCCCAAAATGCTCATGGCATAATGGCATCATATGGATGTGGGTATAGAATTTAGTCTGGCCAATAATTTTAGTTCGTTTTCTTTTCTAAGATCAACATTTTCTTTCTGTGTAATTGTTTTCATAGCCAAATCATCCTGCTTCAGATTCTAGTTCTTGTAGATTATGAGATTGCTGATATGTTAATGTCTTGCTAGTAAGTGTCATCCATCGCTATGGCGAGATCTGAGCTTTCTGTTGAAGTTGATTGATATCTTCTAAGCTAGCACTTCTGTTTCTTGTTTTCTGTGTCTGGTTCCTCCTCCAGCTTCCCCACAACGCGGAGTCGGTACTATTGCAACAAGTTTTGAGTCTAACTCCCGAACAGCTTAACTCGTTGCCACTCGAACAGAGACGACAAGTTATTGAGCTTCAGCAAGCACTTCGCAGAGATCAAATGCGACCATCTTAGCAAGAATATTGCCTCTGATCAACCCGACACTCTCTGCAGCTCGGCTCCAAGCAACCAATGCCGACGACAGTGGCAGGTAACAAATTCAGCTAAGTAGATTCTAAAATATTTGGCTCCAGAAAGATTCACAGTCGAAACGCCTTGCTTGTCGAATGGGTTGAAAGTGACGGGTCCTGCCACAAGGGGTATGAGTTGTCCATAAACAACATTCATGTAACGGTTACAAGTTTTTGATTATAGTGATTCCTGAATAATAACAAATTTAGATAGGGCAGAAAGATCCAACGGTTGAAGAATTTTGATTTTTGCTGGGTCTCTTTTTTGCCGTCAGATTGGCGATTAATATTTTTGCCACTTTTGCTCCTCTTTCCTTTGCATAGTTATATGGTCATTTTCAGGTTTTCGAGCTTTCGTCTTATGGGTCATTCGGGAGTCATCCCATGGATAGTTCTCTCAACCCTAATTTTCACGATCTTTCCTTTATCAGAAAAATCATTTTGAAAAATTGTGAGAATTGAAAATACTCTAAAATAATTTTTTATATCGAGATTACAAGATTAACAAGTGAAATAAATTGACCAATTTTCATTTTAAATCATTTTAAAATGGAGTCATTTGCTCATGACATGCTCTTGATAAGTGTCTAGTTTGATCTTAATAGACACATGGAGCTACTAACTGCCTAGTTCGTATACTGGTGATGAGTCCTAAAAAAAAAAGTCCATCTCGTAGGTTGATCTAGATCACCACCAGGTGACCTTGGTGACTAACTACTTAAACACACCTCGTATAAAAAAATTTGTTTCATTAGCTTGAAAAACAAAAGCTTTCTCAAGTTCCTTATCTTGAACAATCCAAGTAACAATGTTTCTCCCTTTATTTACCTAAACTTATTCTTTTCTTTTCTCCCTTTATTCACCTAAATTTATTCTAACTCTAAATTTATTTAAAGGTGGGTATCTCATTCGTACTTACTACTAAAAATATGCTTAAAATAATATATTTAAGGAACAAATTCTACAATCGTCATAATTCACCGACATAGATTGAGACCCAATAAATTTAACTCTCGAAAAGGAGTGAGTATTCAAGAACATAGTAAAAATTTTATGGGTCATCTCTAAAGAATACCACAAACAGTGTTGTCCCTAGGTCGTCGTTGGTATAGAGGAGACTGATTCGAAACCTATTAGGTTTTGCTTGAACACTATCGTCCACAGTAGTATGAGGAGGCTTAACTGTAGCGAGTGTTGTTGGAGTGACGGTTGCACAAATAAAATCAATATTTATTTATCTTTAAATTTGAAGTTGTTAGTCAATTTGGTGTGTTTATATTTTGAAACCTATTTTTGGAGTCGGTTTTATGACCATTATTATAATAGATATACTAAATGTAAGCTGTAAATGCCACAATAGATTTGATATGAATGGTAATAAGACCTAAAATAAGATTCCATTTTCGGTAGAAAAATTATTTGATCCTTAAAAGAAAATTCCAAAGATTAGTTCCTTATCAACCTTTTCTAAAATGAGGGGATCAAAATGTGTCATCAATCAAGCGAAAAAGAAAATTTAATAATTCAAAAATATTCTTATTATTAGTATTGTTCGATGAAAGTCCCACGTCCGCTAATTTAGAGAATGATTATGATTTATAATCAAGGAATACTATCTCCATTGGTACGAGGCCTCTCGAAAAAAGTCAAAACAAAGTTACAAGAGCTTATGTTCAAAGTAGACAATATCGTACCGTCGTGGAGATTTAACATGGTTTATTAATTTATCATCATATTTATAAAAAAATGGAATAAGCAAGTGAAAAAAAGATAAGGCAAATATTTTTTAAAACATTTTTTAGTTTAATAATATTAATGTTTTTTTTTTTTTAATTTAAAAGTTGAAGAAGGATATTAATGTAAAATCGACGAAATTAATTTATTATATCAATATTTACGTCATTAAAATTCTCTCTCGAGCCTATATAAGTGTACTTCGGAACACAAGCCGGAATATTACCGTCTAAAGCTCCGGGCGGCAGACATGGCCAACAAACCCGTCCGTTTCGGAATCCTCGGCGCCGCCAAGATAGGTCGGAAGATTTGTCGAGCCATTGCCGATGCTCCGAACGCCACTCTGTCGGCGATCGGCAGTCGTTCAGTGGAAAAGGCCTCGAAATTTGCGTCGGATAACGGATTAAGTGCAGAGGTCAAAATCTACGGTTCTTACGAAGCTGTAGTGGATGATCCGGAAATCGACGCCGTGTATGTGCCGCTTCCGACGAGTCTCCACCTGCGGTGGGCGGTGGTGGCGGCGAAGAAGAAGAAGCACTTGCTCCTGGAGAAGCCGGTGGCTCTGAATGTGGCGGAGTTCGATGAGATTGCGGCGGCGTGCGAGGGGAATGGAGTGCAGTTCATGGACGGTACCATGTTGATGCACCATCCTCGTACGCCCAAGATCAGGCAATTTCTTTCTGATGCCGACCAGTTTGGGCAGCTCAAGATGGTACGGATATATATATATATATATATATATATATATATATATATATTTCTCTTTTAATTTAAAACATCTTTTATCTTTAATAATTTCTTTTCTATTAAAATGAAATTCGTTATTTATTTCAAATTCAAATGTGGTAAGAAAACAATTGAAAGACAAAATGAGGTTAGGACTGAATTATGTTCTTCATCTCTACCCAATTTTCTATCTCGTCCAGCTTCACTTTGAATATGTATATATAATTGAGAAAATTTTCTAGTGAATAATTCGATTTTGGCTAATAAAGATTTTTAAAAAATAAAATAAGGAGAAATTTTCAAATATATACCGCTATTTGGAACGTGTCGTAGCATGGACACGAGCAAGTCCGATGCTCGAGTGAATCCGAAGGGATGAATATTTGGGATGTTCCGTTAAGATGATCGACACATGGATCAATTCCCAACGGATGTGTTCGAGCGAGCTAAGATGGTCGATGTGTCCCGAAACATGGGACAACATCACGATGCATGGATCGTGTTGTTGGGAACTAAGATGACAATGAAATGCGACGTTGTGTCGCAACGATTGAATATGCACGCACGAACAACGTGTGTGGGTGAACAAGCTTGGATTCTACTCAAGCAATATTCGATTGGCGAAAGCAAACCTCGCTGACAGTACGACGAAGCCCCAAAGTTGGACTAAAAGTGAATATGGGGCGTGAATTTTTCTCAAGACTTGTCGTGAGCGTGTCAAGATCACAACACTGCACGATTGAAGAGATTCGACTATAACAATTGGATTACTGCAAATTCCTCACTTCAATAATAAATTGATTTTTTTTTATTCTGTTACCAACATTGCAGGTAAACAGTATCTACACTTACGCTGCTGATTCTGAGTTCATAGCCAATGATATTCGCATAAAACCGGATCTCGATGGTCTTGGTGCTTTGGGCGATGTCGGGTGGTACTGTATTCGTTCGATTCTCTTTGCTGCCGACTTCCAACTGCCTACAACAGTGCTTGCGTTGCCTAATCCTGTTTTGAATGAATCCGGCGTCATTTTGTCGTGTGGAAGCTCACTGTTTTGGGACGATGGCAAAGTAGCGACCTTCCATTGCTCTTTCTTGTCGAACTTGACCATGGACACCACTGCCATAGGAACCAATGGGACATTGAATCTTAATGATTTCGTAATACCTTACGATGAGAAGGAGGCCTACTTCTTCACCAGTTCCAAATCTCGGTTCAATGAGCTTGCGACCGGATGGAAACCGGTATCGAGCAAACATGTCGTCCCGACTGAGCTTTCTCAAGAGGCTCGCATGGTGGGGGAATTCTCTCGTTTGGTTAAAGAAATTAAAGAGAAGGGCTCCAAACCTGAGAAGAAATGGTCGTCCATTAGTCGTAAGACTCAGCTGGTGATCGATGCGGTGAAGGCGTCGCTCGATCGAGGATCCAAGGTGGTTGAAGTAGGACGGTGATTCCATTGGTCTTGAGCTTGCATCAAGGTTGGAAAGCTCTGCATGATCAAGATTTAGTGGGAGAAGCCATTCCTTAAAAATAATTGTGTTGTTACTTTCTGTCAATTGTCGATTGTGTTTGTATTGTTCAACTGTTGTATGAATGTATAGTCTTCAACTCAAAGTTTTCCAAGAGTACAAAAGTTTTAATTTGAATCGATCTTCTAAGAGTGCTCTTGTTCTGTCTTGAAAAGCAAATCATCGAGAGAGCCATATTGTTCTCTTTGTTGGACTTTCCCTTTCGGCTCCCCTCAAAGTTTAAAAACACGTCTGTAAGAGAGCCATATTGTTCTCTTTGGACTTTCCCTTTCGAGCTCCCTTCTAAGTTTGAAAACACGTCTGTTAGGGAGAGGTTTTAACACAGTACTACTGTTCATAGCTACCTCCATCCTAAATTGCTTCATTCCTTCCGGTTGCTTCACTGCAACAACTCTCCTATTCGTTAGAACACCTTTATAAACAGCTCCAAATGCACCACCGGCTCCGAGCTTTTCTTTGAAACCCTCGGTCACATGATGGAGTTCTTAATATGAGAACTGGACTGGAGCACCAGAAGCATACACAAGAAGAGAGTATTGGCTGGGCATCCCTCCAAAATTGGAGCTGTTTCTGCAATACCACCACCAAAAAACAGCCTCGAAAGCAATCATAGCAATCATGGGGACCAAAATCACAACCACTGATATCCAAGCCTTCACATTCCTACATTCACTCTGCCTTGGAACCGCAGACTGCTGTTGCAATCAGATATGCCGTAATTAGCAGTGTAGCAAGTTGGAAAACATGACCCTCCACAATGGTTTGATATTGTCCACTTTATGGCTTTGCTTTTGCTTTCTTCGTTTGATCTCATACCAATGGAGATGTATTCCTAACTTATAAACCAGATGCGGGACTCCTCTCCCAACAATTCTCAACAACCACGACCCTCCAAAATGGTATGATATAGTCTACTTTGAGTATAAACTCTCGTGGCTTACTTTTGGTTTCCCCAAAATGTTTCATACCAATGGAGATGTATTCCTTATAAATCCATGATCAACCCCTTAATGAGCCGATGTGGGACTACTCTCCCAACAATTCTCAACAACCACGACCCTCTACAATGATATGATATGGTCCATTCTAAGCATAAGCTCCCGTGACTTTGTTTTTGGTTTCCCCAAAAGCCTCGTTCCAATGGAGATATATTTCTTACGTATAAACCCATGATCATCTCCTTAATTAGTCAACATGGAACTCACTCCCAACCATCCTTAACATAGTACTATCATATCCCCTAATAAAACCTGATGTACCTAATAACAAAACTCACTTCCATCTGATGGTGCAGTGGAGGCAACACAGGGAGGGAGATCTTTGCCAACAATTCGATCGACACCCTGCTATCTGCATGGTGTAACCAATTGTATTCTTTGGATATGTTAGCATAAGCTCTTGTGGCATTGTATTCCTCTTACACCCTTTCTTCAAATTATTTGGATCAATTGCCTCAAAATTAGCAGATGGGCAGCCACAGTGTGGACGGGTATCGTTATAACTACAATACTGAGTTCTCCACAAAACCCAAATATCTGACACTTATCTGGAACAGCGTCCCATCCCACTGTTTCAGTCTCACTGCCTCTAGGGACGCTATAAGTTCCTAAACTTACATCATATTTCAACCTCAGAAACCAAAAATTATCGACTGGGAAAGGCTTATCTGCATAATCGTTGCTATAAGCAACCAGCGATCTTGCTCGCAGTGGTATGCTCTGGTATAAAGATCAGTGTAAGAACTGATAAGCTAGAGGCTAGTTGGAGTGTCGTACCTTGAGTGCAGAAGAGATGAACTTGTTTTCTCACAAATGCTGCCACCAGGAGTCAAGTCTGTTGCAGCAAGCGACGACGAAAATGAGGCCGGTGTAGCGGGTGTTTCAGCGGTCGAGAAATTGCTTATATTGCTGCTGATATACGTGCTGGTTCCACTTGCAGACACCATGGATGTTACCTTTGGTGCAGGAGGCCTCTCGATGTCGATGACGCCTTCGATCATCTGCACCACTTTTCCCATTGTTGGCCTCTGAGATGGTTGCTCCTGGATGCACCAAAAGCTCACCTGAACCACCCTGCTCACTTGCTCCATATCAATCACTTGATCCACCAGCCTTTTGTCAACAATTTCTATGAGATTTCCTTTTTCAAACTCTTCATAAGCCCACAAAGAGAACCTTTTGTGATTTGTTTCAGCAGAAACGTCGAAGTTCCTTCGTCCGCTTACGATCTCTAAAAGAACCATACCGTAGCTGAAAACATCAGATTTTGAAGTCAGTGGCAGATTTGCGAGCCATTCGGGCGCCAAATATCCTCGTGTTCCTCTTACGCTAGTCAAGGTTCGATATCGGTGGTCTTTCATGTTAATGAGCTTTGCCAGGCCAAAATCTGAGACTTTAGCGTTTAAATTCTCATCTAAGAGAATGTTCTCTGGCTTTATATCACAATGAATGATGCAATCACGGCACTCCTCGTGAAGGTATGTGATCCCCTTGGCAGTGCCAGCAGCAATTTTGAATCGATCTTCCCAGCTGAGGAACTTCCCAGATTGTCCTTCTTCTCCCTTGAAAAGCAAACTATCAAGAGAGCCATTCTTCATGAGCTCATATACTAACAGCCTATGCCGTCCTTCCGAGCAAAAACCGACCAATCTCACGAGATTCAAATGGTGTGTGCTACTTATAGTTGCTACCTCCATCCTAAATTGCTTCTCTCCCTGCTCGATTCCCTCGAGTTGCTTCACTGCGACGACCGTCTTATTAGTAAGAACGCCTTTATAAACAGCTCCAAATCCACCAGCTCCAAGCTTTTCCTTGAATCCATTGGTCACACGATGGAGTTCTTTAAATGAGAATTGAACAGGAGCACCAGAAGCATACTCAAGAAGGGTGTATTGGCTGGACATCGCTCCAAACTTGGGGCTGTTCCTGCAACACCACCACCATAAACCAGCCTCACAAACAATCATGGCAAAAAGTGTGACCAAAACCACAACCGCCAAGACCCAAGCCTTCAAATTCATACCACCCGGCCTTGAAACATCAGAAGATTCCAATTGGTTTTCAAGAACTTCTCCACAGACCTTGAGAAATGAACTGCTTGGCAACGCAGCACTCTGATATCCCCTAATGAAGCCTGACGGTATGTAATAACAAAATCCATTACCATCTGATGGCGCAGTGGAAGCATCACAAGCAGAACTCTGTCGACAATTTGATTGACACCCTGATATCTGCATGGAGTAGACCTCTAAGTTCTTTGGATATGTTAATAGCTTTGTATTCTTCAACTCCAACATCGTGATGCCGCTGGAACAGTTTCTGATATCCAATTTCGCCTTACACCCTTTCTTCCAATCGTGGTGATCAACTGGCTCAAAGTTTGCAGATGGGCAACTACAGATCGGACTTGTATCATTATAGCTACAAATACTTAGTTCCCCACAGAACCCAAATATTTGACACTTATCTGGAACAGCTTTCCATCCCACGGATTCAGACCCACTGCCTCTAACAACGCTATGAATCTCTAAATTTCCATCATCTTTCAACCTCAGAAACCTAAAAGTAGCACCGCCACCATTATCTGCGTAATCGTTGCTATAAGCTACAAATGATCCAGCGGGTATTCTGGTATCATAAACAGCCAACATTCCAATAGGATCTAATCGTAAACTAGGAGAATTCAAGGAGCCATTGATCGACGTATTTAATCCATGATTCCAATAAACTACATCACCATTCGGTCCATCTCCATTCCAAGTCAGAGTTATATTCCCAATGTTAAGTAGGTTAAAAGAATACTGACCAGATCGCAGGACCATGCCCACTGTGAAATTCTGCGATGGAACAATCGTGTCCGTCGGGTGATCGAACGAAGACCAGACGCCCTCGGAACTACTATTTCGAAGGATGAGGTTGCCGGAGTCCTCGAGAACAGCGGAGGAGACTCCACGGCCGGTGGTGTTAGATTCCCAAACGACAGCACCAGAGCCATCGACGAGACGAAGGTTACCGTCGGATTGAAAGTGAAGAGCACCAGAAGCATCCACCGTAGCACCGCCGCCAGCGGACCAGATAGTAGGAACGCCACCAGTGAAGACTATGCCGGCGATAAAAGAAGAACCGGAGGAATCCACCGGATGAAACCTCAAAGAGAAATCTCCATTAGCCGAATCCCACGTCTGATTGGAATTCGAAGCTCTCAAAGACGAACCTAGAGATATGGCGGCTACCGACAAAGATACTGAAAGACAAAGAACCAAAGCAATAAAGTAAAGAAACAAATGGCTACGGAGGTCCATTTCTCTTCAATCTCGCTTCAAGAACAGAAAGAACAACAGAGTCGGATTAACAAAATCCGAGAAAATCGAGAGGAAAATCTCGGAAATCCCTTGGAAGAATTTGCTACTTCAATCAAAATCTGATTCTGTATATAAATTGGCGAAGAAAAATCGCAATCATCTGGAAGCAGAAGATTAGAAAATGGAAGTGGAAGAAGAATTCTTACCTTAAAATTCATTGGACTGTTCGTTCTTCGTCCACTCATCTTTTCTTCTCCAGTAATTTTTCAAAAATATCTTTGACTTTTGGGTGAAAATCAATTTCAAAAACATTTTTTTTTATTTTTTATTTTTTTGCCCTTAGAATTTTTCTTGCCACGTGAAAAGACAAACGCAAATTTACACTTTTACCCCCAACTCGTCGTTCCGTCAACTTTTCAGTTAATCACGGAGAGACCCTTATTTTTATTAAAAATATTTATTAGGCTCAATAAATAAAAACAGCGTCTCTAAAATAAATCTCAAACAATGAAAAATAGTATTTTTGCATTAAAATTAAAAAATAAAAATATTTTTTAATAAAATAAATAATTGTCATGTCAATCGTCATCGAACATTAACGAAGAATTTGATGATACGATACAAATGAGACTAAATGCATAATTAACGAAAATTAAATGTTAATAAAGAGGTTAGTAAAAAAGTTGGTGAAAATTAAATACAAATATAATTAATGCATTCGGGGTATATAAGTAATTTAATATCCAAACTTGATCGAAGGGTCCAAAATCAAATTATTGTTTGAAAAGGGCCTTTTCTCCAAAATCTCAATTTTGTTGGGTTAAAATTTGAAATTACCCTTTTTATTGGTCAATTTTCCCGGGTCAAAATTGGAAATTCATATAATTTCTTTGCCCCAATTTGCGGGGTTCCAAGTTCGAACCGTTTCTTCCGTCTTTTTCATTATTTTTTTTATTATATATTAAAATAAAAGAGAAATCCTTTTAAATTAAATTATAAATTTAACCTTTTAATCTTTTTTTTACGCTCTTTAAATTTTTAAAATTATAAATTTCGTACTTGAAATTTACGATTTATTAGGCATAAAATTTAAAACTATTATTTCAGTTAATTTTTTCAAAAGAAATGATCAAAAATTTATTTATACCAAAAAAAAAAAAGAATTTAGTGATTTATCAGAGAAATTCAAAGATAAAACAAATACAAATACCGAGGTTTATATTCAATACATATTATATTAATAACTAAAATTTCATAAAACTCAAATATTACACATTTATAAATCAAAACATATCAGTAATATCCGTAATAAACCTCAAATATTTTTAATATTCGTATTAATATTAAAAGAAGAGTAGGGTTGGGTCGAGTTGGATTGTAACCTTATTTTGGGATGGATCAGGTTAACTCGATCAAAAAAATACCGACCCATGAATTGACTCGAATTTTTCAGTTTGCCAAAATTTCAACCGAACCCGAACAAAAAAAATATTGACCTGAACTCTTCATTTAATTGCTCCATAAATATTTAATTCATTTAACCTAAAATAAATTAATATTTTAAAACAAAACCATCTTATTCAGGGTATAAAGGGAATTTAAGAAAATATTGTAAAATAATTTAATAAATTCAAATTTAAAATAATCAAAGTTTTTATTCATTGAATTGAAGCCCAGGGGTTGATTAGTCATAAAAGTCTTCTTAATTATTTATTTTTAATTAATTCCAATCATTTCATTTATTAAATAATTTAATATAAATATAAATATTAAGTCTCTCACTTTCCAAACTACTATATATTTTATTTATGACATTAATGCCATTCAGCTTTATTTAAAGAGTTTAGAATAATATTTAAATTAAATTAATAATATACCATTAGAAAAAATAATAATAATAATAATTGAATAATTAACTGCCATATGGACTAAAATTGGTTGTATTTAATTAACTAAATAACCGACTTGAATTTGGAATTTAGATTCCTCGTAAACCCGACCTTTTCTGTAATATGATCATGTTATCTAACCTTATTCGAACCCTTTATTTCGGAGTTAGGTATATATTAGTTTCAGTGGTAACTATCAATTCTTTTAAAAAAATTCTAACCGTCATATTTTTAGAGTCACTCTAATTCGAATGTGGTCTCTTATAAAAATTTTCTAAAGAGTAATATTGTAACATCCCAAAACTCACCGCCAATAGATATTATCTGTTTTGGCCTGTTACGTATCGTCGCCTCACTATTTTAAAACGACGTCTACTGGGGAGAGGTTTCCACACCCTTATAAGAAATGTTTCGTTCCCTTTTCCAACCAATCCACCCTCCTTGGAGGTCCAACATCCTCATTGGTACACCGTCCGATGTCTACTTCTGATACCACTATAACAACACAAACCTATCGTTTGCAAATATTGTCCGTTTTTGCCCGTTACATATCACTGTCAACTTCAAGATTTTATGACGTGTCTACGAGAGAGAGGGTGTACCGATGTCTGCTTCTGATATCACTATAACAGCACAAACCTAACGTTTGCAGATATTGTACGGTTTTGTCCATTACATATCACTGTCAATCTCAAGATTTTATGACGTGTCCACGAGAGAGAGATTTCCACACCCTTAAAATGAATGTTTTGTTCCCGTCTCCAATCGATCTCACAAATATAACATATGACTGAGTAATTATAATAAATAAAATATATTTTTCTCTGATTATTTATGATCTTTCTACCTACATTCATTTCCTTACACGCCAAACCCATTCCCCTGTCTACTGGTGACAACAAAAACAAACCCCATCACAGTGAAAAACAACAGAGGAACAATGGCAGCCAAAAAAAAACTAGATAAGCTCATCCATTTCTACCACCCCTTCTGCTCACAGCATTACATACCCGGCACGGCAGCGTGTCGAGGCTTGCAGCTCGGGTCCTCCTATAGTTTCCCAACGCACGGCATCGTCTCCAAGCATGGTACTCAGCATAAGCTACCGGATCATCAGCAAGTCGTTTTACATAAGAAGCTAACTCTTCCAACGAGCTGAATTTAGACCCATCAATTATGGAATGTGGAGGGACAAAGTCCCAGACATTTGGAGCACCAAAATAGATCGGAACCGAACCGGAGTCTAGCGCATAAAATAGCTTCTCCGTCACGTAACTCTCGGTCATCGTGTTTTCGATTGCTAGAACGAATTTGTAATGAGACATTGCACAATGCAAGTGATCCCACCATTTTGGGGTGACACTGGCATCGTTTGCACATTCAGGGTACATATCAAGGGCCATGTCAAGCCCGCCTACATTGTTCAAGCACTTGCCAAATGAATGGTGAGGCAGCAAGCTTAGAAGCTTCCTAGCAAGCTGATTTCGTTGGGGAAGACAACGAGACGACGACCAATAAACGAGCGTATCCTAAAAAAATTTCAATATCATTGGTATCGTAATCCTTATAGAACGAAAAAGATCGAGTGGACTTGCAAAGACGAAAATCAGAACCGAAAAACTCACATTGTTTTTAGAAGAAGATACGTGATAGTTTCGACCATTGTGAAAGAGTGCTCCTGCATAGGTTGACTGAACATCGTCTTCCGCATGATAACTAACGAATAGATCCTCAAAACCTGAGCGCTTCCTACCAGCCTCGAGATCCATATAAATACGGAGAGGATCACCCCTGCGCCTCTAACGAACATTAAGGAGAACAGTGAACAAAATCGAAACAACACGATCATAACAATATCGATAACAATAACCAAGGAATTATTACCCAGCATATTGTCATGTATAAGATAGGGAAGTCGAAAAGGTATATCATACTAACTTGTACCATGGGCAGAGACTAAGATATCGCAATCAAATTAACGTAATGAAAGCACGGTCATTCATATCTAAAAAAAAAAAACAAACAGAGGACCAATATCACCGTGCAGTTTTACTCTGACAGCACAAGCCCACCACTAGCAGATATTGTCCGTTTTGACCCATTGCGTATCACTGCCAGTCTCACAGTATTAAAACACAAAAAAAATCTCATACCTTATAAGAAATGCTTCATTCTCCTCGGCAACCAATATGGGATCTCAAAATCCACCCCCTTGAGGGCCAGCGTCCTTGCTAGCACACTGCCTGAAACCCGACTCTGATACTATTTGTCACATCCAAAACCCACCGCAAGCCAGATATTGATCGTTTTGGCCCATTACGTATCGCCGTCAGCCTCGTGATTTTAAAACGCGTCTATTAAGGAGAGATTTTCACACCCTTATAAGGAATGCTTTGTTCCCCTCTCCAACCGATGTGGAATCTTCTTACAATCTACCCCCTTGGGTGCCAGCGTCCTTGCTGGCACATTGTCTGAAACTTGGCTCTGATACCATTTGTAACAGTTCAAGCCCACCGCTAGCAGATATTGATTGCTTTGGCTCATTACCTATTGATGCCAGCCTCACGGTTTTAAAACGCGTCTAGGGAGAGGTTTTCACATCCTTAAAAGAAATATTTCATTCTCCTCTCTAACCAATGTGACCAATGTGAGATCTCACAATCCACCCCCACTCACTGGCACACTGCTCGAAACCTAGCTTTGATATCATTTGTAACATCCCTAACTCACCGCTATCAGATACTAATCGTTTTAGCTCATTCACGGTTTAAAACGCATTTGCTAGGCAGAGATTTCCACATCCTTATAAGGAATAATTTGTTCCCTTCTCCAACCGATGTCGAATCTCACGTCTAGTTTACAAAAATCTGGGATTCCTGATAGTTCTAGGTGATCCATTCAACAGCCTATGAATTCAATCAATTTTCTTTCCTCAACAAGTAATCCATCGATCGAAAAAAACAGTCCCCAAATAAGGTACAGAATTTGTAACAGCCCAACCCCTTGATGGAAAACAGCAGAAATAAGCAGTAAAGCATAATCTACAATGGCTTCAAGAACATTTTAGAGATTTAATACCAAACATCATGCATTTCTCAGTATCCTCCATGGATCAAGCTATTAGAACTAACAATGGCTTCATACAAACAGATCATAAGAACTGAATGAAGCAGAACGAACAATTATCCAGAATCGAGAAAAATGTAATTTATGTAGATAGATCTGGATCGCTTCAAAAACTACCAGATTATGATCTTAAAATCATTAGAAAAGTCGGCATCCAAACAGATTGTAAAATTCGAACAGAATAATGGAAAATTATGGCTGAGAATTACCTGACGCGGAGGCGTACTGGTCTCGAAGAACAAGGCGTCGGGTTTATCGGCAAGAACAGAAGATTTAGTCCAAAGACAGCTCAATCCACAAGAACACGAATACAAATTGTCTAAATTATCAGGGATCCATGTCCATCCTTTCACCAAAACAGAGACATGATTCAGTTTCAGCCCTCCACATTCCGAATTAGACTCGCCGCCGACAAGCTGCAGCGAAGTCGACAAAGATCCATTTCCCAAACCGCCGCTAATTTTCTCCCGAAATCGATCGCAACCAACCTGAGAGTCCCATTTCTTAAAGGCGGTGATCAAATCAGAGAAAGGATCGAAAGCGAACTCGGCTGCGGATAGATTCAGATCATCGGTGGCCGGTACGATCGAAGTGGATGCCGGCGGAAATTCGAGAAAGCCAGTGAAGAAAAGGATGAAGAACACGAAAGCGAGCATGAATATGACGGCAACGGTGTTGAAGGGCTTCAAGAGCATGGTTGGACGGAGACGGCGGTCGCCGGTGGATTTTCTCTCTCCGGAGAGAGAGAGAGAAAGGGGGAAATCGGTGAAGAATGTCTGTGTGAAGTCGTTGTAGAGAGTAAAAGTGAAATTATTCAGCACCGATTACAAGACGAGTTCAAGACAGATCACTAAATTAGTGATTAATTTTGTGATTAGTGACTAATTTTGTGATTAGTGACTAATTTTGTGATTAGTGACTAATTTTGTGTTTATGACTAAGCTTTAATTTCACAATTTAATTACTTATTTAAAAAAAATTAAAAATTAAACCTAATAAGGATGAAATTAAAAATCAAACATATAAACATAATTAACAAATTTTTATATATCTAAACACAAATATTATCTAAAACATTAAATTTTTTGCACCGTCAAACTCAAACAAACACACACCAAATCTTCCCATTTGTGGAGAATTTACATATGAATTTACCTTATTTACAAACATTTAAGACAATCTGTTACCATTTGAGACGATCTCACCAGTTCTTCATCAGTTCTCTATACCAATCTCCATGAACGATCACAGACACAACAGCCATAACAATCAGAGATTCTGCTGCCTCGACCACCTTTCCGGTGAGAGATCCTGCTCCGATGGGCAAAAGGGATGCCTCCGCTAGTTGCCTTCCCTTTCTGCTGCTTCCTCCGAGCACAACGCCCCGCATGGCCAGGTAAATGTTGCGTGAAACTCGATTGTATACGACGTCGCCTTCTTGTAAGCTTTTTATCAACATGTTTGCTATGATCTGCTTTCTTGCTTGGAGCTTTTTAGGGTCCGAATCACAATCGACTAAGACAATGCCGAGGGCTTCAACGATCTCCAGTATTCCAACGTTTTCGACAATGTCCAAGAGATTGCAAAGGCGTTTGGCGCATGTCGATAATATACTATCGACTTCACTTGGATTGGAGACCAGTCTCTCGTTGAGAAGAATTTGGCGCATGACCAACAAGCTGGACATGATATTTCCAAAGTAAGACTATATAAGAATAGATTATATGACCATATATTATCATAATCTAAGACTATACTTTGTAAAACAGGAATAAAATAAGATTTCGATTTATATCTTTTTGCTTTCCTGTTTCTCGAACTTTCAAACGTTTTGTTATAGCACCTCGACTTTCAGTAAATAACTTATTATAGACTAAGTTTTAAGATAAACTATAATTAATTTAAGGAAACAAAAAGACTAAACCCTATAACTAAAATAGAAGATAATTTAGTACCAAAATAGAGAGCTTAAAGGTAAGAGCTGCAAATTTCACCAACCTGGTAGAAATGACGATGATCCTCTGAAGTCGAGATTGAACCGTCCTGAGCTTGGCGAGATTAAGCTTAAGAGTCTCCGGCAGAGTATCACTGCTGAGCCCCTTTATTTGATTTACTAACTTTAGCAGACCAAGCCTAATTAATAAATCAAGTCTCTCACCCTTGCACTCTGGTTGTTCTTTGCCTGAATACATTAAATCTCCATTGTTAAATCTGATGAGTTCGGATAAAAACGAAGTCGAAAAGAAGAATACGAATACAACATGACAACTGGAGTTACCATGGCTACTTGTTCCAGAGGTTGGGCTGATGATCTTTGATGGAATCAGACTACTTCCTCCGGTACGTATGGTAGACGGGAGATTCTCTGGCTGAACTCCTGCATTTTTTGATATAGCAGAAGCCAGAGAATCAGTGTGTTCTTTCCACTCCAGCTCCACATTCGGCCATACAGATGAAAGCCATTGCCTTGTGAGAGGCAAAGAGGTAGGTGCATCAGCAGGAGAACCACATCGCTTAGAAAATGAACTTTTCAGATACTCCAAACCAGCAGGGCTCTTGATGAGCGGTTCCACCATCCTTAAATGTGCATTTGCTATTTCTTCTTTTAGATTCTGCTACCAAATATAGAAGTTCAGTCAAATCAACGTGGAAAAGTATCTTACAGGCATAACCAAACAATATATATTTCCGACTAGCAAAACCAGAAACGTAAAACCATTTGTTCGTCAGAGAAGTGAGAAGAAAATATGTTCTCTTTGGAGTTCTAGAGGGAGACACAGAAGAAACACAGAATGGGATAAAGAAAGATCACACAGCTCTCCCCAAATGGAGACTCCGCTATGCGCAATTTTCCTATTTACGCTATATCTGTCATCTCATTGCATATATAATCAAAGCTCCAAATGCCATTTAGATAGGTGAAGTTTAGGGCCTTGGTTCATCTCATTCATTAGCTTCTGAGAAAGATGATACCCCTAAAATATCATAACCTGCCTTTTGGCTGAAGATAATGTGATCATAACATCACTGCTTTAGAATTAAGTAAGAAGTTGGACAGGAGGAAAGAAGCTTGAGAATTAATTGCGGAGCATACTATGAGCAAAATATACCCATTTGTAAAATTCCATGAATGGACATCCCAGCGCAGCAGCAAAGGTAATTGAGAGAATGATGAAGACTTAATTATGAGACTGATGAAGACTTAATCATGAGAATAGGTGGAAGAGGAAAATAACAATTACTCAATCTCCCTATAAAGGACTCAAAATCCATGTTTAAGGAAGCTCGGACACCGGTACCATCCTAATCTTATAAATAAATAAATAAATAAGAGCTATACTTGGCAATCTGTTGAGGAGGTTTCACAAGAACAGACTAGTTCTGGTGATAAAAAGTTCAAAACGAAAATGGATGGAGAAGTGTTACACCTTTGAAATGGTTTACTTCTATCATCCTTTGCATATACTTGAATTGGATTATATTTAACTGTACCCAGAATGTGAGGTAGGAAATACTAGACCAAAAACGGACCTGAATCTGATGTAGAATGAAGCGTAAACCTTGGACCATCAAGAGAGCGAATGGGCGCTTGGAGTTCTCTCCAGAACAGGAAACGTCTCCCAGCTCTTCCATTAACTTCTGGTAACTTGCTTCCATCTCTTTCTCTTTCGCTGGAGCGGAAAGCTTTTGCAGTGTGACTAAACTAAAGTCCAGGAGTTGTTTGAAGTAACCCACATCCGGAATTCCTGAATTTAGAATCTTCAACCACCAAAGAAATGAAGGACAAATTAGTGAGAGAGATCGATACTCCATTACCATTTACCATTTAATGTGGCCACCAATTGTTAAATAAATATTCAAATTAGATGTACCTGTGAAACAATTTCAATATCAATTTTCTCAGCAATCTCTGATCTCCAGGACGGCGGAGACGTCTCACACAATTCATCCCTGACCTCCTTCAGGACCTTGATAACCCAACTGAAATCAGACTCATCTTCTTCCATAGACTCCATGATGCCATCCCAAAATGCTTTTTCCATCGTCTTTTTCAGTTTTGCCTACGTAAGTCAGTATAATAGCTAAGTCCAGGAATCATAAATGCATGCTTCCTTCGCTATTTGTCATTTACATATCAGAAAAGAGAACGAAACATTCAGAAGTGCCAACCTTTAAACTGTTTTCAGCTTCAGTTGGAGCATTCGAGGAGACTGTAAGGAAATGGTGATAATCATGGACAATCTCATTTGCAACCAACTCATTCTCAGTGACTAGCATTTCACTGGAGCTTGTAGGTTGCTCTGCAATAAATTTGACAGAAGGAAATTGTCATTTTACTATAGGAAAAAGAATTAAAACATCTATCTTAAGCAAGAATAGTCATCATTACAGACAAATAACCAACAAAGCATCCAATATGCTATGCAGACCTGGCTTAGAATTTTCTACTGGTCGGAACCCTGGAGAATATTCAGAATCCAATTCCAAGGAGCTTGACCCTGCAACTGATGAAGAATTTTCTGAACTGCCAAGTTGCTGTAACTTTTCTTTCAGTATCTTCTGCTCTTCACTGACCTACCATCAACCAGATGAGTCCAACAAACCATTAGCCAACTAGGATTTAGTTGCTCAAAATGCTATAGAAACTATAGCCAAAGTGGATTACCTGTGTATCATGTGCGATATTACTATTATCACCTTCCAATCTCAGCTTAGAAGTTTGTGCCATAAAACTCTCCAACTGGCGAGCAACACCCTTCATGTTCTCCTCGAAAAATATAGCATCCTTGTCTTTCCACACCACAAAGTGATGAAGGTAAGAGCACCATCTTTTGTCAAATATCTCTAATTGGGATCTAATCGAAGATGGTGCTGAAGATTGCTCCTCATGCATGGTTCGTAAGGAACCCTCCAATATAATCTTAATCAACAACTCAAATTCCTGAACAAAATTTGATGCCGACTCCAGCAATGCATTTTCAAACTCACTCTTCCCAATAAAAACTGTCTCCGGATGCCCCAATATCATATAAGCAAAAAGCACTACTTTGGCAGGGTACCTAGATAATTTAGAGGGAACCCTTGCAGCTTTCCTGAAGCCAATAGTCTGTGATCTACCTGTCTTGTTTACTTGATTACTGCTTCTGCCATGAAATCCAACACGCTTGAGAAGGTGATCTACCTTCTCCATGCTTAATTTATTTCCAGAAGTTGTTCTCAAGATTGAGAATCTACTCTCTAAGCGAACAAGTAAAGCTTTTACAGTTTGTATGGTTGCAGTTGCATTGATCTTAGAAGCAAGCTGCTCAAATTGCATAGACTTCACAGATTCTTTTGTAATATCTAATGCTTGAAATGCTTTTGCCAAAGCAAAAGTAGTTTTTCTCGTTTGTACAAAACTCCTCCAGCACCTGAAGATGGGACAGATTGCATTATAATTCATAATATTTCACAGGAAAAAGAGATGAATGATAACTGAAGGGAAAGTAAGCAGGCAAAGCATAGATACAGAGTCAAGCTAAAACTGAACCAGTATCCTTGACAACAATAGAAATAGTCACAATACACTGCATATCATTAGGTTTCAAATCTTTCTCTCTTCCAAACCCTCCTAAGGCCAAACCATTTCTTCTACTCTTACTCTTGATGCCTCAAATTGATGTTCCAGCCCCTAAGCATACTTGCCCACCAACAAAGGGAACATGAATTTATTCTCCCGTATTACTTCCTTCAATCAGTTCTTAGATATAGAAGAAGAAACAACATGGGCGTCAATCAGATTTTTCGATTATATGGCCAACACAAATGTTTAGAGGTTCATTTAAATCACATAGGAGGTTTATTTCTTCTACCATAGATCTTGTTGCTTTGCAGGTGCAAAGACGTCTTGGCAATGGAACTCTCACATCTTTTTGGGCATGATTCCTAGTTGAATTATGGGGTAGCTACTACAGCCTTTCCTAGAATTTTTCAACTGTCTACTAGCCAAGTATTACAGTTGCACAGGCTTGGACTTCTTCTCATGATTTAGGTTATCTCATCTTCTTTCAACAATCTTGTAAAGTTTGGTAGATGACTCTTGGCTATGACCTCTTGATTTCACCAAAGCATTCACAACTAAAGCTCTCAAGTGAGTAAATTCATGATATTGTCCCTGACTCGAGCAACCTCTTTTTGGTGATTTGGAAGGACTCTTATCCTAAGAAAATAAAAAATTTCTTATGGAAACTTAATCTTGGTGGGAAAATGAGATGGCATCTTTCCTTCATGGTGTGTGATGTGTTTTTTTTTTTTTTTTTCCTACTTAGAGCATCCTTCACATCTGCCCATTGTTCATATGCTTTTCAATTTTGGAAGTTTTTGGTTGGTCTGTAGTTTTACGAATGAAATATTTGGTGTTCTTGCCTTGGTCTTTGTGAGACATCCCTTCCATGATGCAAAAAAGACATTATGATTGGTGATAAACAGAACTTTCTCCCGCATCTATGGTGTGAAAGGAATGCAAGGATTTTCGAGCATGGGTTCTCAACCTTCGATAACTTCAAATACGATCCAAAAGCATGGTTTCCAGCAATACAGACTAAAAATAAAATGCAAAAGCCTAAAATACGCCAAAGAAGATGTAGAAACTACCCTTGTGTCACTCTTATCTTGATCGCAAGATGCATAACATAAATGATCAAACTGTGTTACTTGATCACCATGTCGAAACTTTCAATACCACAGGTAAAGACCGAATCATACCAAGCAGTCGAAATTAAGACAACTCTAACATCCGAAACGTCTTAATGGGAAATTATAGTAAACAGGCTAGAATAGAATCCAAAAAATGAAGCAGTATAAGGATCTTGTACCTTGCTATAATTGCCGCTGGGTCCTGCTTAGACACCCCCTTCATATTAGCACGAACAATATCACTTGTTCTTCGTCTCTCCATCGAATACCCAGCTCTTTGTCTCTTGGCCTACTCGCACATATAAATAACGTTTTTATATTCTAAAAAAAAAAAAAAAAAAAACTGAAGAGAGAAAACAACTGAAACGACTCATGAACGAGTCGGGAACAACTTTTCTACGGAAGAAATCGAAGTCTGTTGTAATTCAAACGAAAAGAGCACCCGGCGAAGGTTGTCGCTAAGCATTTCTTGGTTTTTGGTTTGGGGCAACCGACAAAAAGAAATTCTATAACTTCCTTCAAAACAAATCAAGGTTGGACTATCTTTATCCAGTACGGCACGTCATACTGAAGAAAGAAAAACAATCGGAATACGTATATAAGAACAATAGGGCCCGAGATAGAAACCTGACGACGGAGATCAGCCTTTCGGAGCTTGGCTTCAATCTCTTCCGCAGTAGACGGCGCCTTAGACTCCATTAGGCGACGGCTAAGCCTGCGAGGCAGTTTAGGAGGAGTAGATGACGATGCCGGCGAAGGCTCGTCGTCATTTGCAGGAAAATAAAGCGCTACTCCGCCCTTCCTCTCCGACTTCTCCTCCAGTCCCACAGCCATTGAACTGAAACAGTTCGAACAAGAATTCACCAACTTAACCGACTCGAAAACTTCGATTTGATCAAAGCTTCACAAGATAAATGCCGATCTCACAGATTCAGCTGCGGATTTCAATGTCGAGGTCTCGATTTCGTCGTCGAATTGCAGAGATGATTTCTGATGGACTATGGAATCCAAATAATTTCTTCAGCACATCTGTGCATTGAAAAGGAAAATAATGATGGATTTGGATCGCGCCATTTTGTTCTAGATTCTTCGATGGCCTTTTTGGCGTTCGAAAATTTTGAAAACTCGAGAAACAGCTGGATTTTTTTCCTTCCTTTTTTTAATAATTTTCATTTACAGACAAATAAATTCGTAGGTTTTTTTTTTTTTTAAATGAATTCTTAATTCATTTTGATTTTAATACTTTTGAAAATTATCTTTAAGAACATTTATTCTGATCTCAACTTTTAAAAAATTATTATTTTAGCCTTTAAAAATACCAAATCTGATAGATCTAAATATTTTTTAAAATCATAAAATTTAAAAAATACAAAATCAAAATCAAAATAAATATTTTATATATGCATATTAAAATAATTAATCTAACAAATCATCAAACTTTTTAATATTATATCTTAAATTTTGTAATTTTGAAACGTGAAACTAATAATAAGTGTATTTTTTATTTTTTTAATTTAAAGGTTTTTTTGTAATTTTTAATAAAATTTAGAGGTATTTTTAAATATATTTTTTTAAAAAATAAGCTTATTAATGATTTAAAAAAAATACCAAAAAAAACATTTAAAGGTATTTTTTTAAACATTTTAAAAATTTAAGAGTATTTTTTAAAAAAAATATTAATGATTTTCATCTAACATATATTTTTTAATTTTGTTTAAAAACTTTAAAGATATTTCTTAGATTTTTTTAGTTTAAGATTATTATTAAAAGATTTGAAAGTTTATAGTTATTATTTTTTTTTTCAGAGGATGTGAAAAGTTAAAGGTAATTTTATCAATTTAGCATAAATGGAATTCTTTATCTCTGGTTGTGTAATAACTTTAGTACGGAAGGCCCATTGGGCCGGTTAGTGGGCTACGATTTAAACGCAGCCCAACAAGTGAGCAACAGATCCAGTGCGGTGGGCGCTGGCCCATTGAATTGCCTAAATAAGGCCCATACTCAAATAGTTTTAGGTTAAAATTACTTTTAAAAGTTATTTTCTAACAAATATTTATTAGGCAGTTGACTTTTTTTTTTTTTACGAATTTTTTAATTTAAAAAAGAACGTAAATTATTGAACTAATTTTATTTATGATAAGTCTCTACCCATTAAATAAAATAAAATAAACTAATCAACTTCTTCTTGACGGTCTATCGAGAAAACTGCAAGTTCAGTGTGGACTTCGTTAAAAATCCTATTTGGGTCTCGATCAAGTGGTTGGGATATCAATCAAGTGTTAAGAGAGCAAAAGAATTCCATTTTGTCACAATATAAGGCATTTTGTTATTCTAGATCCTGTGGCCGATGATTCGCTGAAGAACAATTTTTAAAGAGATTTATTCTTCATCGATATAATAACCAATCACTGGTTAATTTTGAAAACAATAATTCATTAGTGCAGCCTGTTAAAATATCGTTACAATATCATAACGTAAGTAACTTAGTACTTTATGTGGATGAATGTCGGCCCCGTTAGAAGAGGACTCAATGTCCTAATCGAGGTCTTGTCTAATATAAACTATATTCACATAACATAATTCAACAAAAATCTATTCAAAATTTAGTGATGATGATTGTGACAAAATTGAGTGGGATAGTGAATCCGACGCGCCTACATGTCAAACGAATGGCCACTCGCTCAAAATAACGCTTCATAGCCAATGCAATTAATATGGTTTATTGAGGAAAGTGGACTGAACGCGCGTGGCCTTCGTCGGCCTCTTCACCCGTCGGGGGCCCACCCCTTTTCTCATTCTGTTTACGTCCGTACGTTCACTCTTATTTCTTCTAGAAGATTACCTTTTTCTCTTTAATTATCGTTTTTTTTAATTTTAATTTTTATTATTTATTTTCTGCTTGAATTTCCGAGGACAGACTTACTTCCTATTTAATCAAAACTAATTAAAGTGATAATTATTTTAAAGGGGAAAAAAGTTAAATTATGAGTTTACTTTGAGAATCTATTTAAATTAGTCCTTTTATTTTCAAAAAGTATATTACAAATAAATAAATTTAAAATTTAAATACCCAATAATTTTAATTTTATGTCCCAAACTAATTATACATTTTTATTAAAAAAAATCAAATAAGGCTAAGAATTTACAGGACATGATTGCTGGTTTGGAATTAAACGGTATGCTTAATCTTCAAGCTTATAAACACATTAGAGAAATAAAACAAAATTTATTTATTTATTTTGAAACTAAAAAAGATATGAATTTTGTTATTTTGTGTCGGCCAAAGAGGTAAATAATGAAAAGAGATAAATTGTGAGTTGGTGAATTAATATGTAAATAACTAAATATCCCAAAAATGGTAGGTCCAAATGCCCTAAAATAATAGGGTCATTTCCAGCAAATTAAGGGGCCGCTGATTGGCTGTGCCCATTCTCTTTCTTTAACCTAAAGACAAAGGGCAATGGGTCATTGTGGAAGCCATGTGACTCTCATTTAAACTGTCCCTCTTTTTTTAAATTTTTGTAAAAAAAAAAGTAATAATAATAAATCCCGAACCTTAAAATAAAATATATTATTGTTTGAAAGATATAAAACTAACCCGTTGAACTAGGATCAATTGACTAATTGACTATTAGTTATCACTCTCGTAGCTATCAAATTGTAAATATTTCTAACTTTATTTATGAAACCCAAGATATTGTGCCTCGAGAGGTGAATAGATAAGACTTACCCATTGCTCGACCAGGAGGACGCCAAAAGCCTCAGCCCATCCTATTAAAAGTTCAGAGAAAAATCAAAATTAATGCACGGATTTACTTTTTTAAGAAACTTAATAACAATCGAATAGAATTACCATGAACTTTCACCTCCAAAAAGTATAAACCAAGGCAAAATTGAACTCATAATTAATAATTTAAAATTTTTACCACCTTGAAAATTACCAATGGAAATAATCTTACCTGCCAATTATGGGATTTTTTTTTTTTTTTTATCCAATCCTGCCAATCCTGCCAGTCTGACACAAGTAAGAATTAAAAAATAAAATAAAGAAAGAGGAAAAAAGATGGAATAAGAATAACTCAAATATATTCAATGATTAGGCTGAAAGAAAGGGTAATAATAAAGAAAAGAGAATGCTACGTATTTGGTTAGACAAAAATTGATGATTCCACTCCTCTGGGTACCATTCCAGAGACAGGAAGGATATGTTGTAGCGGTGCGGTGGAAGAATCAAAAAGAGGAGTGGAATTATTATTATTATGTTTTCATCCAAATATGAGAAGCCCAAAAAAAAGTTTGCTCACTTTACCTCTTTCTCTCTCTCTCTCTCTCTCTCCTCCTCTCACCATCTCTCTCCTTGGCCGAGAAATGTATTGATGAAACTGCACAATGTAGCCGACAGATCAGTACCGTTCTATATACCAAAAAAAAAAAAAAGAAAAATGATGCGAACTCTCCTCCTTGGTCGGGAATGACTCGATGAAACTGCACAATGTAGCCGACAGATCAGTACCGTTCTATATACCAAAAAAAAAAAAAAGAAAAATGATGCGAACTCTCCTCCTTGGTCGGGAATGACTCGATGAAACTGCACAATGTAGCCGATAGATCAGTACCGTTCTATATACCAAAAAAAAAAAAAAGAAAAATGATGCGAACTCTCCTCCTTGGTCGGGAATGACTCGATGAAACTGCACAATGTAGCCGACAGATCAGTACCGTTCTATATACCAAAAAAAAAAAAAAGAAAAATGATGCGAACTCTCCTCCTTGGTCGGGAATGACTCGATGAAACTGCACAATGTAGCCGACAGATCAGTACCGTTCTATATACCAAAAAAAAAAAAAAGAAAAATGATGCGAACTCTCCTCCTTGGTCGGGAATGACTCGATGAAACTGCACAATGTAGCCGACAGATCAGTACCGTTCTATATACCAAAAAAAAAAAAAAGAAAAATGATGCGAACTCTCCTCCTTGGTCGGGAATGACTCGATGAAACTGCACAATGTAGCCGACAGATCAGTACCGTTCTATATACCAAAAAAAAAAAAAAGAAAAATGATGCGAACTCTCCTCCTTGGTCGGGAATGACTCGATGAAACTGCACAATGTAGCCGACAGATCAGTACCGTTCTATATACCAAAAAAAAAAAAAAGAAAAATGATGCGAACTCTCCTCCTTGGTCGGGAATGACTCGATGAAACTGCACAATGTAGCCGACAGATCAGTACCGTTCTATATACCAAAAAAAAAAAAAAGAAAAATGATGCGAACTCTCCTCCTTGGTCGGGAATGACTCGATGAAACTGCACAATGTAGCCGACAGATCAGTACCGTTCTATATACCAAAAAAAAAAAAAAGAAAAATGATGCGAACTCTCCTCCTTGGTCGGGAATGACTCGATGAAACTGCACAATGTAGCCGATAGATTAGCATTGTTCTATATACGAAAAAAAAATGATGCAAACTCTCCTCCTTCGTTGGGAATGAATTGATGAAACTGCACAATGTAGCTGACAGATTAGCACCGTTCTATATACGAAAAAAACAAATGATGCAAACTCTCCTCTTTGGCTGGGAATGAATGAATGAAACTGCACAATGTAGCTGACAGATTAGCACCGTTCTATATACAGAAAAAAAGATGCAAACTCTCCTCCTTGGCCGGAAATGAATCGATGAAACTGCACAGTGTAGCTGACAGGTTAGCACCGTTCTATATAAAAAAAAATGATGCAACTATCTTATATTTGTACTTGTACCTTGTAGTGATTAGAGATGCAATTTTAGAATTCACGTCCAATAGTAATTACCGAACAGTAATGATGAAGCAGCCATGCTGTGGCAGCTCGATGTTCGATAAATTCTCGTCCCTATCTCAACACAAAAGCACTTCACAAGTCGCCAAAGTTGGTCTCTCTCAGTCCTCTGGCTGCTTGCTTAAGTTTCCTTACCTGTTTTGCATGTCTCTTCTTTCTCTCTCTCTCTTCTTGCTTTAAGTGCTTGTTCTCATTCATTATGGTAACGTTCCACCAGAGTGAGAGTAGCATGTCCAAGGAACTTCACTTCTACTCATAAGTTCCTTTCATTTCTTCTATAATCTTCATAATTTCTTACAATTTTCCCAGCAACCAAACAGCAGAAACCATCACTTTCCCTTCTTCTTACCCAAAAAAGGTATGGTGAAAGCTTTCTGTTCTTCCTTGAAAGACCTACAATAAGAAACCCATTAAGATTTGTCAGAATTTATGGTCTGTTTGAGAAGGAAGATGGAAAAACAGTAGAGGATTCATGGAGCAAGATGAAGTAACTTCCTGCAGGTAAGATTTAAAGATGAGAAAGCAGTATGTCAATATATGGAATGATATGCAAACTTTTTCTTTCCACTTTCCTTCCATTATGAGCAATAGTTTTGCTATGAGTGGCTTTGAAGTAAATCTCTTTTCTTCTTTTCTACTAATCATGAATATCATATATCAATTATGGAGAAAAATCAGGCAAAAATGACATCCTAACGTAACTCTGTCTCCTCTTACACAGCTGTTTTTGTTTTTGATTTTCCTTCTTTGATTCATCCAAAAACAAACACTGGTTTTGTGTAATATGTTTCCAGATTTATGAAGCTTCAAGGTTGATGATTTGGGAGTTTTTGTTATTCCTTTCCTCTGATTTCAGGTGTTTGGAGTGTAGTCGAATGGAACTATCCATCATGGATTAGATTACACATAGATTGAGGATTCTCAGCCTCCTTGAGTTGGCATTTTAGTCTCATTTCTAATGGAGAAGAGCCCAGTTTATCCCCTTCATTCCCTGTTGATCTTTCTCTTCATTTTGAGTCTCTTTGTTCCAAGTTTGCCTCTTTCGACCGAGACTCGAGCATTGCTTCGTTTCAAAGAGAATCTCAATGATCCGATGGGGTTTCTTGATTCTTGGATTGATTCTGAATCCCCTTGTGGATTCTCTGGGATTACATGTGATCGGGTTTCCGGGAAAGTCGTAGAGATTTCCTTGGAAAACAAGTCGCTTTCTGGTGAGATTTCTCCATCTATTTCTGTTCTGCAAAGTCTCACAATACTTTCGTTGGCCTCAAACCACATTTCTGGGGAGCTTCCCTACCAACTGATCAACTGTAGCAATATTAGAGTATTGAATCTCACTGACAATGAAATGGTTAGGAGGATTCCTGATCTTTCTCAGCTGAGAAAATTGGAGGTTCTAGATCTATCAATCAACTTCTTTTCTGGCCCATTCCCAATCTGGGTTGGAAATTTAACTGGATTGAATTCTCTGGGGCTTGGTGAAAATGAGTTTGAGGCTGGTGACATACCAGAATCAATAGGAAATTTGAAGAACTTAACTTGGCTATATCTAGCAAATGCACAATTGAGAGGGGAAATACCAGTCTCTCTCTTTGAATTGAAGGCCTTAGAGACAATGGATCTTTCAAGGAACAAGCTTTCTGGTAACCTCTCCAAGTCAATATCCAAGTTGCAGAATCTGAACAAGCTTGAGCTTTTTGAAAACAAATTAACTGGAGAAATTCCACCAGAGATTTCAAACCTTACCCTTCTGCAAGAAATTGATATATCTGCAAATAGTTTTGATGGGCAGTTGCCGGACGAGGTTCGGAACCTCAGGAATTTGGTGGTTTTTCAGTCATATGAAAACAACTTCTCAGGTAAGTTCCCTGAAGGGTTCGAAAATATGCAAAACCTTATTGCAATTTCAATCTATAGGAACAATTTTTCTGGAGAATTTCCAGCGAACTTCGGCAGATTTGCTCCGCTCCTCAGCATCGACATATCTGAGAATCAATTTTCAGGGAGCTTCCCCAAGTTCTTGTGTGAGAATAGGAAGTTGCAGTTCTTACTTGCTCTGGATAATAAATTTTCAGGTGAGCTGCCACTTTCTTTAGCTGAGTGCAAATCACTGCAAAGATTCAGAATCAATAATAATCAAATGTCTGGCAGGATTCCAGATGGGGTATGGGCTCTTCCTAATGCAAAAATTATTGATTTTAGTGACAATGAGTTTACTGGAGTTATAAACCCAAACATTGGTCTATCGACCAGCTTGGGCCAATTGATATTGCAAAACAATAAGTTATCAGGTAACCTTCCATCAGAGCTGGGCATGTTGACAAATTTAGAGAGGCTTTACTTGAGTAATAATGACTTCAATGGAGAAATACCTTCTGAAATTGGTTTCCTCGGGCAACTTTCATCATTCCACCTGGAAGTAAATTCTTTGAATGGATCAATCCCATTTGAGATTGGAAATTGTAAAAGACTCGTGGACATAAATTTTGCTCAAAACTCTCTTAGTGGTAGCATTCCATCTTCATTTTCATTAATCAGCTCTTTGAACTCGATGAACCTCTCACGCAACGAACTTACAGGTCAAATCCCAGAATACTTGGAGAAAATGGAACTAAGCTCGATAGATTTGTCGGGAAATCAGCTGTTTGGAAGAGTTCCATCCAGTCTTCTAGCAATGAGTGGAGACGAAGCCTTTTTGGACAACAAAGAACTCTGTGTTGATGAAAACTACAGAGAAAGGATAAATACCAGTCTGGTTACTTGTACTGGAAAGCATAGGCAGAAAGGGATGCTTGTGGATAAACTTGTATTTTTCAGTATGATAGTCTCCATCTTGGTTTGTGTATTAGCAGGGCTAGTGTTGGTAAGTTTTAGTTACTTGAAGCACAGTGAGACTCGCCTGGAGACCAATCAGGAACAGGACCAACAAGGAGCTCCAAAATGGAAAATTGCATCATTCCATCCAGTGGAAATTGATGCAGATGAAATATGCAGCTTTGAAGAAGACAATTTGATAGGGAGAGGAGGAACGGGAAAAGTTTATCGGTTGGATCTGAAGAACAATGGCGGTACAGTGGCTGTTAAGCAGCTCCGGAAAGGAGATGAAATGAAGGTTTTGGCAGCAGAAATGGAGATTCTGGGAAAGATAAGGCATAAAAACATCTTGAAGCTCTATGCCTGCTTAATGAGGGAAGGATCTAGTTATCTAGTTTTTGAATATATGACTAACGGAAACCTGTGTGAAGCACTTCAGAGACAGATCAAAGGTGGACAGTCTGGATTGAACTGGAATCAGAGGTACAGGATTGCATTGGGAGCAGCAAGGGGAATTGCTTACTTGCACCATGATTGTTCACCACCTATAATTCATAGAGATATAAAATCAACCAACATACTTCTTGATGGAGATTATGAACCAAAAATTGCTGATTTTGGAGTTGCAAGAGTTGCAGATCAGTTCCTAATTGTTTCTGAGCACAGCACTTTTGCTGGCACTCACGGTTATCTTGCTCCTGGTGAGTTTTACATCTTTCCAATCAACCTCCCCATTTTTTTCCTCATTATATTTTCCTTAACATGACCTTTCTCTCTGCAACAAAATTTATATCCTAACATTCATACATTAATAACTAGTTAAAAAAACACTTCATTCACGGAAGTAACAGCTTAGTCCCTAAACCTTAGTTTATAATGATGTACATTCAAAATTGTAACAATCTAGTCTCTCTGAACAATTTATTCCTATATTTAACAATTTGTAACAATAAAACAAAAAAATT